GAGGGGCCTGCTGAGAGAGGGGGCGGCCCCAGGGATCTGGCCTCTGGGTCAGGGCGGGGCAAGAGGGGTGTCCCAGGGACACATTGCAGGTGTGGGGAGGGGCTGCTTGCTTCTCGGGTGGTCGCAGGGGAGAGCTCAGGACTTGTGGTCCATGGGGCAGCAGATGAATGAGTCAGGGGCACTGGAAAACGATGTGCTCCTCCTGGTAACCCCTCCCGTCTTGGATCATTCCAGTGACACTTACAAACACTATGAAGGAATTTCTCAGTGAAAACATTCAAAGAGCTGTGCTTTGTGCTGGGGCCACCTGAGCCCAAAGACCGCGGTGGATGGCATGCAGGAACCAGAGGCACGCATGCGCTGCTGACCCCTGGGTGACAGGTGGCCCCTGCAGGGTCCTTAGGGCCCAGCACCCTTCTGCCCATCCCTGCTCCGCCAACACTCACCTGGGCCCCTGGCCTCCTCTCCATCTCATTGTTCCTGAACACAATCTTGAGTGGCATTGATCCAACCATCCCTTTCTGCCAACTGCAAACCTCTGTACCCCTCTAGCACCCTTTGTCCATGCTGGGACCCCTGTCCTCGTGATCCCAGTAATGCCTCTCATTTACTGAGCATCTGTATTAACCATGAGGTTAGCGTGTATGACTTCTTTTCATGCTCACAAAGCTCCGTGAGTGCAGAGTTGCAACTGGGTAGGTGGGGTCCAGAGACGCTGATTGATGGAGGAGCCTCTCGCTCCGGCAGGGCTGAGGTTTGAGCCTGCACAGCGGTGACTCTAGAGCCTGTGCTTGCCCCGGTGCAGTGCCATCCCCCCTCGCCGTTCCTCAAGCCTGCCATTCACCACCTGGCCATTAAGGCACATATGTGCTCATGACCCTGTCTTCCCCGGCTCTGCGCAGCAAAGGACAGCTTGTCCCCCACACTGTGTCCCTAATCCAGGGGCAGCAGCTAAGCAGAGTTTCTTGCTCCCTGTGGGGGTTTTTAGGTCAGCACTTGTCCTCCTCACAGGTCTCCTTTCTCCGTGTTTTGTGCCTTCTGTTTAAGCTCACCCTTTCCTGGTCCTGACTGCTATCATCTAATCACCCCTGGGATGTGCTGCTTCCCTGAGGATTTCAGTATCAGTTTCGTAGTCTCTGGGGTCTCAGCATCCACACTGACCCTTCCAGGTCTTCTCATTTCTTTGACTTTCCTCACATGGCTCCTTGCTGTCCTGCTGACTGTCTCCCCTGAGTTTCTGACTGCCAGTCTCTCTTGCCTCCCTCAGAACCCCAAGCTGCCCTCTCCATGGGCTAGCCTAAAGTGTCCAGTTCAATGGCTTTTAAAAAGCATATCCATGGGTATGTGCAAGTATTCACATGGTTGATTTTAGAATATTTTCATCACCTCAAGAAGAGACTCTGTACCCTTTGGCCATCACTTTCCTACTCCCCCTGCCCCATACCAGCCCTAAGCAAGCACTGTCTCTATAGATTTCTCTGTTCTGGACATTTCATATGAATGACATCACACATATGATCTTTGGTGACTGGCTTCTTTCAGTTAGCATGATGTTTTCAAAGTTTATCCATGTTGTTGTGTGTTATCAGTCCTTCATTCCTTTTCATGGCTGAGTAGTACTCCACTATGTGGCTATACATTTTGTTCATTCATTCTTCACTGGATGGACATTTGTGTTATTTCTTCCTTTCGGCTATTATGAATAATGCTGCTATAATCATGTTTACACGTTTTTGCATGGACATGTCGTTTCATTTTTCTTGGGTGTATATACCTAGGAGTGGATTGCTGGGTCATAAAACTCTGTGTTTAATTGTATGGGGAACTTTTCTCACTTGAAGGACTATTTTTCTCACTGTTTTTTCACTTGGGACTGTTTTCCCAAGTGGCTGCACATTTTGCACTCCCAACAGCATTGTACGAGTTCCAATTTCTCTGCATTCCTGTCAGTACCTTTGTGTCATTGACTTTCTGGTTCTAGCCATCTTGGTGAAGTGGTATTTCACTGTGGCTTTGATCTGCATCTCCCTGGTGACTAAAGACGTTGAGCAGGTGAAGTGGTATTTCATTGTGGCTTTGATCTGCATCTCCCTGGTGACTAAAGACGTTGAGCAGGTGAAGTGGTATTTCATTGTGGCTTTGATCTGCATCTCCCTGGTGACTAAAGACGTTGAGCATCTTTTGATGTGCTTATTGGTCATCTACTAACAGTGGCTTTGACACTGGACCCTGAGCTTCAGTCTCTCCGCCTGTCAAATGGTATAACCACCATCCATGGAGCACAGTGGCAACACTGTGACTCTCTGGGCTGAGGACACATCTGACAAGTGATCCCACAGCCACTGGACCCAGGGACAGGCAGCCTCTGCAGCCGAGGGTCCCGTCCCTTTATGTCTCTGCTTCCAGTCTTTTCTCTGTTCTTCCTGCAGCCAGGCTTGGGATGCTGCATGGCCAGAGATGCTGTATCAGGAAACCTGCAGCAGGTAAAGGTTCTCCCAGCAAAGTTTTTGCAGAAAAGCAATGCACTAAGTGAACTGTTTTTCAAATGGTGTGAGCTGGGAGTGAGGTTTCTGGCTTTTCGGCACATAGGCGATGTTCTTGGGTGAATGACGTTCCCCCAAAAGATATGTTGAAGTCCTAAATCCCAGTGCCTCTGAATGTGACCTTAATTGGAAACAGAGTCTCTGCAGATGTAATCAGGGAAGATGAGGTCATACTGGAATAGGGTGGGCATTCATCTAATGACTGGTGTCCTCAGAAAACAAGGGAGATTTGGAGACAGACACACAGACAGGGAATGGCCATGTGACGGCGGAGTCAGAGACCGGAGTGATGCTGCCCACAAGCCAAGGGACGCCAAGGATGGCCACAGCCGTCAGGAGCCGCCAGGGGCTGGGAGAGGCCAGAAAGTCCCACTGGGCCTGCCGAGGGAGTGTGGCCTGGCCAACACACTGATTTCAAACCTCTCCAGAACTGAGAGAACACACTCCCGTTGTTTTAAGCCACACAGTTTGTGGCTTAATTTGTGACTCTGTTAAGGCAGCAATAGAAAACTGACACTGGATAATGATGTTCAGGAATGATGTGGAGAGCCCTGGGGGTGGTTCTGTTCCACGCTTGTTGGATGCCTGGCATTTCTGGCCACCACCATGTATTTACTGAGAACGGACTCTGCCCAGTGACAGAAAAGGAGTATGCCCCTCGTTCCTTTCCTCAGCTTAGCATGGGAGACAGGAGGCAGGAATACAAGCAGCAGCTTCAGAGGCAACACCAGACAAGGCCAGGGTTGTTGGAGGTGTAGACTCCTGCTACACCCAAGCTGGGGCTGTGAATGCGGCCCCTGGTGCTCCCTCTGGTGCTCTCTGACAAATACAGCCCTGGGTGAGAAAACCGCAGGCCCCTCCCACTCAAATTCCGATTTGATTCTGGATCGCCAGTGTAATAGTTGTGATTATTTTCTCACAAGGGTTACAGGAGACCTTCTGATTAAGGCAAACGTCTTGTACATCAAAAGCTGCTCACCGTCACCCCTGGGCTTACTATTAATCATTCTCTCTTACATCTGTTCCCAAAGGGCCTACCTGGCACAGGCCAGCTGCTGGGCCCAAGTAATATGCTTTAATCAATGGTATTAAGCTTTTCCATGTTATGACATTTTAAGTAGATAATTAGACTCGAGTCACCAGGCGTCCAAGAGTTCGACTTTTGTATCTGGAAAATAGGTTTTGAAAACGCCCATCATGTACACATGTATGAGTATTTGTACTTCTATTGAAACCAGCTGGCAACCCCAGTAAAATATAAAAGGGAATCTCTGATCTACAAGAAAAAACAAAGCTGGAGAGAAATGCAGGAGCTTTATTATAAATCATCAATATTCTTGAAGTTAACAACTGATAAACTCACTTAGGCAAACAGTTTGGATTTAATGATCTAAAGCCCACAGATGCATGCCAGATCTAGCTAAAGGTACATAAAAAGCACACCTCTGGAAATCACAGCCCTCCCTCCGGCTGAAGACTGAGAAGCATTCAGCATGCTTCTGGATTTCTGCAGCGGCAGGGGCAGGGGTCTGCACGGGCCTGACCTGGTGTTGCTGGAGCGCAGCATCCCCTCCTGGGTGCTACTCCAAAAGGCAGGCTGGGAGGTGCTTGCTGGGGTGTTCCATGGTAGCACTGCTGACCAAGTTTGGGTCTCTAAAAGCCACCCTCAGTTTATACCAAACTGATGAGGAAATAGGTGGCGACAGGGTCTTGAAGGGTACACGCCGGCTTCCCTTAAGTTGATTAGATGGGAAACCAAACACTGCCTTTCAAGTGTGAGGCTGTGCTGTGCTCCCTCAGGGAGGATGGGCGCTGGGTCTGACCAGGTCTGCCTCTGCCCTCACCAGCAGGCAGATGTGAACTGAACAGTACCAGAAAGGCTGGTGGTTGGCAGGTGCTCACGGCATGGTTGCTGGCCTGCAGCAGATCGGCTGTGGGTGAGCAAGACAGTCAGGCCCTCTGCAAGCACTGTTCTGGAGTTTCGTCTGACTAGGCGAACCCTCTGGCTTTTCGGGGATTCAGGGTACTCTACTGCCACCAGCCAGTGAGCAGACTAGGACATCTCTAGACAGGAAATTCATCTAAAAATCGGAGGACAACGTGACGCACCCAAGTGACGACGGACCCAGGCAGCTGTGCACATGGGGTGGAAAGCATTTGGAACGGTTAGACCCATCAGTGGACAGGTTTTTCTAGCACAAATGGAATGTGGTGTCTCATGTCCCTAGGGAGACAAGGGGCAGGTTTCTTATCTGCTCTTTCCAAGCTTTCAACTCCCTGGCTCAAGTGTCCCAGAATGAAGTAGAAGTCTATTCCTCCACCCTGGTCCGTGGTCACTTCCAGAACTCTGAAGTGGCTCAGGAGGTGATTCCTTAAGGCCAGCTTCGCTTGATCTCCTGGTGGAGCCTGTCTGGGCTGAGGCGATGCTGGGCTTGCCACGCCGAGATCTCATACCAGAAGTCCTCCCTCGGAGCTACTTGCCTCCAGCCTCATTTTTTGGCATGTTGACTCTTGGAATTGAGGAGCTATTTCTAAGATGCATGCTTTTTTTTTTTTTTTGAGACGGAGTCTCGCTCTGCTTTTTTGGCTTTTCTCATGGGTGCCTCCTCAGCCTGCACAGGATCCCCCATCTCACAAGGGAGGGAAATTTGGCGTTGCTCTTCCCTGCCTCTAACGGTCTTTCTGAGGGGCCGCCCAAACTCATTCCCTTATTTCTTACTTTCCCGCAGGTGTTAAGATTTTACTGTCCCAATACTAAAAAGCATGCAATGGCCGAGCTTCTCCCCTAACCTTAATCTCATCCTCTCAAATGTGTGCCTTCTTGTTTTTAAGACCACAGACAAGGACGTCAGGCGACTGCTGAAATAGAACTAAGCTAAAAGTTTTTCTCAGATCTTGGCAAATTCTGCTAATGGCACCTCTAGGGGCGCAATCATCCTCAAACGACATCCAACCGGACTCCCCATGAACAAGGTTTGGGCTGGAGCGGTTTCTAGTTTTAAATACGGAAATGTAAGGCAAACGACAGAGCACTTGGTTTTGCCTTAGATTTCCCAGCAGAGCGGGATTTGGGAGAAAGTGCTGGTTTTCTCTGTCAGGGAAATACCAAGTACAGAAGAGCCGGGGCCGCGGGGGAGGCTGGTGGGGTCCAGGCTCACTTGCGTGGCTGCTGGATGTGCTGGGTTCTTGGGGAAGGATGCTTGTCCATGGAGGCATGCGGCTTCTGGTGAGCCACCTGCGCGGCCGCCGGGGGGAAATCTTTGTCACCCTGTCAGGATACACAGAAAGCTCAGGTTGATCAACAAGAAGCATGGGGTTCATGGATGAGGAAGCCCCAGGCCAGTGCCCACCAGCGTTTCTGCAGGATGCATGGGGTTCATGGGTGAGGCAGTCCCCAGGCCAGCACCCAACAGCATCTCTGCAGGAAGCAGTGGGTTTGTATGTGAGGAAGAGCCAGGTCAATGCCCACCCGCGTCCCTGCGGGAAGCATGGGGTTTGTATGTGAGGAAGCACCAGGCCAGCGCCCAACAGCATCTCTGCAGGAAGCATGGGATTCATGTGTGAGGAAGCCCCAGGCCAGCACCCACCAGTGTCCGTGCAGGGCGGGCATGGACTGTGAATGGGTAAAGGAGGGTGGAAGCCTGTCCCCTCTGGGTGGTGGGGGGCCCAGGCCATCAGAACCGGGGAATGGCAGGTGGCACTGAGGCCCACACGCTGGCAGGACAGCAAGAATGCTCACTGGCTCTGCCTCATGCCGTGAGACACAGGAACACGCGACTCCCACAGAACTGACTTGGATGCCTGGGGCTTTCTTCTGCTACATTTGTATTTGTGACTATTTACATTGGGGGCAGGACAGAACCAAATCCAGGATCTTAAGTTCAGATGTGCCACCACAGCTGTGAGCTAGGCCTGGGGCGCTGGCCGGGAAGGAAATGCATAGGGCGCCTACGAGACAGAGCCAGGTTCGGCCTGCCCAGTCTCATGAGGGACTCGCTATTTTCCAGAGGGATCAATGGGCTTCGTGCCAACTGTGGGTGTGGCCAGAGTGGGGCCCACACGAGCAGGCTGGAGCCACACTTCTCTGGCTGGCAGGTTGGCTGGCTGTGGTCACAGCTCCAACAGTGGGCTGTCCCCAACGCTGGCACTTTCTTCAGGAATCCTCTGATAAGAAAGCGAATGTCCTGAGAACAGCAGCCCTGTGGACGGCAATACTGTGGGGGTTTGCTGGCGGGGGTTCGCTGGCGGGGGTTCGCTGATGGTTTACTGGTGAGAGGCCTGTGCTTAAGTCATAATGTTGGCTCTCACCAAAGGGCGGCTCTGGAAAGGTAAAGGATGTGACCCAAACTGTGAGTCTGGCCTGGGGTCTGCAGAAGCACCCTCTGGGGAAATGTGGCAACCAAGAGAGCCATGGCCACAGATGAGATGAGCAGCGGTGCTGGGTTATTCCAGGTAGAGTTTAATAAAACCAGAAGGAACCAGGAGACTCCATGCTGCCATGCAAAGGCCTCAAACCCACTGCAGACGCTCCCAGACTTACCCGGGCAATGACCCCAGAGATGAACACAGTGGGTTTAGGTGGACTGGAAAACAAGAAGGGAAAAGGCAGATTTAACAAAACAGTCCAAAAAAGGGGACACAGTGGCAGAGCCAGGCTGGAGGGCGTGGAGGCGGAATGGGGAGCGAACCTCTTCCTCTGCATTATTTGTTGTAATGACCACACTACGGGGCTCGGGAGCCTCCTTCTCCTGAGGCTAGTTCAGCCCCGAGTACGAGAGAGAAAGAGACTGCAGCCAACTGCAAGTGAATTGCCTACAAGCACTTTTTATTTGTAGTTTTTTTAGAGACAGGGTCTCTGTCACCCAGGCTGAAATGCAGAGCCACGATCATAGCTCACAGCAGCCTCCACTCCTAGACTCAAGTGATCCTCTTGCCTCAGTCTCCCGAGTAGCTGGGACAACAGGCGTGCATCATCACACCCGGCTAATTGTTTTATCTTTGCAGAGGCAGGGTCTTGCAATGTTGCCCAAACTAGTCTTGAACTCCTGGTCTCAAGCCAACCTTCCACCTTGGCCTCCCAATGTGCTGAGATTACAGGCATGAGCCCCCGTGCCTAGCCTATTTTTGTTTTTTGGTTAAATCAACACTTTTAACTGTGGGCAAGCCCAATTCTTTTGATTTAATGAGATAATGAAACAGGCGCTTCGCTAAAGCAGGGGAGAAGTAGTTTTACATGGCGTGGACTTGGAGACTTTCTCACTGCCTCCTCAACCCTGGGCTTCCCCTTCCAGCATCCTCACAGGGCAGATTCCAGAGCCAACACAAACCTCCCATCCCCTATCAATCCCCGAGCCTTACAAACATAAGGTCCTTGGGAAACTTGTCACCTCTTGACATGTTAACTCACACTGAGCTCACCCACACTGTGGAGTATTGAGGGAACGGATACAGTACCAAAGCAATACAGCCCAGTGTGAAAAAACAGAGAAGCCCAAACAGGCTCAAATCACCAGCAGGCCCACCACCTGGAAACACGGCTGTTAACACGGCGCTATCCTTCCAGGCCTTCCTTCTATGCACAGATGTACGTGCTTGTCGTCTTCTTAACTTTTTTCTTACAAAAATAGTCACACTGTTTTGTAATCTGCCTTCTGAACTAAGACTATGGTAAGCATCTCTCCATGTAATTATATACTCTTCTGTACATTTATTTTTGATGGCTACATGTGCCAAAATTTAAAAACATCAGGACACAGTTTAAGGTAGTGGATAAGGTGTGTGCACTTCCAAAATGCCTCCACCAAGAGGTACAGGCACCCAAGAGCAGGAGGTGAATACAAGGTCAGCCCAGCTGGGACAGCACGATCGATCTGGACCACTCACGGAGGTGGGTGGAGAAGAAGTATCTCCCTCTTGGCTCAGTTTTGCTTAAGGCCAGCCCTGCTAGGCAGAGGGGGTAGAATTTATCCCTTGAGCTCCCCAGCCTGTCTCTTCCCAGCTCTACTTCTCCTCTGCTGCTGGTGGTCTTTTTAAGGAATCCACTTGTCTTAGTTTTGTTTTGCTGCAGGCAAAAGTCCCAGCATTCAGAAAGTTCACTGATTGTTTACTTCCCCAAAGAGTTTACCAAAAGCACCTGAAATTCCCCCAAGTAATTTCTGTTACTTCGCGAGATTAAGAAATTTCAAGTTTTACGAAGCAGCACAGAGATACCCCATACATGACCTTGGTTTTATTTAGTGTTTGTTGTATGGTTACCAAGGTTGGATTTTCTTCCCCTTCCTTTACGTATATGATTTAGCTATAGGATTAATAGCCGGCCAGAGATGAGTAAGCTCAGCTCCAGTTTAAGCCCCACCACGTGGTATAACTGAATTCATTTTGATTCTTAAAGCATACCCTGCTGTGGTGCCTGATGCCACTAACAGGGGAGGGCTTCCAGGGATTCAGGCCAAGGAGTTTGCATCCAAAGCTCGGGAACTGTGGTCTGAATTCTAACATTTTATAAAAGATTTGGAAAGGAATACAGAAATAGCAGCACAAAGTTTCTTAAAGTCCTTTGGAATGTTCTTTTAAACATCTATGAACAGCCTTAAGCAGGGATGGCCCCACTCTGGTAGTGAATCATATACTATCATCTTCAATAAGGCACAGCCGTCTTTCCACAGCAGGAGCGCACAGTGGCTTTCACTGTCTCCATGTCTTACTTGCTTTTTAATCTGTCGAGGCTCTGAAAGGCGGAAATACAGGAGATCACCCCGCTCCAGAAACTTGATAAAAATGTCATCCATAGAGAGTCAATCTAGTAAGAATACATGCATAATAAAGGGAATTAGCTTCCCCATCAAACTGAGCCCTAAAAGGTGGCTGAGGAAGCTTGAGTAATTATGTACATATATAGGTAAACACCCTCCCCTCTACACACACACACACACACACACACACACACACACACAAGTACCTTGTTTTATGGCATCGGCTTATTGCAGTTCACAGGTAATGTGTTTCTTTAGGAATTGAAGGTTTGTGGCAACTCTGCATAAGCAGGTCTATGGGCGTCCATCTTCATTACTATTATGTCTGTTACAGTGCTCTGCGGTCATTGATCTTTGATGTTACTATTGTAATTGTTTTGGGGCACCACGAACTGTGCCCATATAAGATGGTAAACTTAATCAACACTTGTCGCATGTGTTTTGACAGTTCTACTGACCAGCCATTCCCTGTCTCTCTCCTTCTCTTCAGGCCTTCCTACTCCCTGAGACATAGCAATATTGAAATTAGGACAACTAGCAATTCTACAATTGTCTACAATGGCCTAGAAGTGTTCAATTGAAAGGAAGAGTCGCATGTCTGTCACTTTCAATCAAAAGCTAGAAGTGACCAAGCTTAGTGAGGAAGACAAGTCGGAAGCTCAGACAGGCTGGTCTCTTCTACCAAATAGCCAAGTTGTGAATGCAAAGGAAGAGTTCTTGGAGAAAATTAAAAATGCTACTCCAGTGAGCACTGGGGTGAGTGACAAGGAAGTAAAAGAGCATTATTGTGGATATGGAGAAAGTTCGAGTGGTCTGGATAGAAGACAAGCCACAACATTCCCTTAAGCCAAAGTCTAATCTAGACCGAGGCCCTGACTCCCTTCAGTTCTATGAAGGCTAAGAGAGGTGAGGAAGCTGCAGAAGAAAAGCTGGAAACTAGCAGAGATTGGTTCATGAAGTTTAAGGAAAGAAGCCATCTCCAGAAGACAAAAGTGCAAGGTGAAGCAGCAACTGCTGATGAAGAAGTTGCAGCAAGTTCTCTAGAAGATTTAGCTAAGATCATTGATGAAAGTGGCTACACTAAACAACAGATTTCCAATGTTGACAAAACAGCCTTTTATTGGAAAAAGATGTACTCTAGGACTTTCATAGCTAGAGAGGGGAGGTCAATGACTGGTTTCAAAGCTTCCAAGGACAGCTGACTCTTATTAGGAACTAATGCAGCTGATGACTTTAATTTGAAGCCAATGCTCATTTACCATTCCAAACGTCCTAGGGCCCTTGGGAATTATGTAAAATCTACTGTGTGTGTGCTCTATACATGGGATGACAGAGCCTGGATGGCGGCACATCAGTTTACATCAAGGTTTACTGCTTATTTTAAGCCCACTGTTGAGACCTACTGCTCAAAAAAAAGATTCCTTTCGAAGTATTACTGCTGATTTATAATGCTCCTGGCCACCCAAGACCAAGTATACAAGGAGAGGAGATTAATGTTGTTTTCATATCTGTTAAGATAACATTCATTCTGCAACCCATGGATCAAGAAGTAATTTCAACTTTCAAGTCTTATTAAAGAAATAAGTAATTCCACTGGTGGATTTGGGCAAAGTAAATTGAAAACCTTCTGGAAAGAATTTAGATGCCACTAAGAACACTCATGATTCATGGGAGGAGGTCAAAATATCAATATTAACAGGAGTTTGGAAGAAGCTGATTCCAACCCTCATGGGTGACTCTGAAGGGGTTCAGGACTTCACTGGAGGAAGTAACTGCAGATGTGGTGAAAACAGCAAGAGAACGAGGATTAGAAGTGGACCTGAAGATGGAACCGAATGGCTGCAATCTAGTGATTAAACTCCTCAAGGATGAGGAGTTGCTTCTCATGGATGAGCAAAGAAAGTGGTTTCTTGAGCTGGAATCTACACCTGGTGAAGATGCTGTAAACACTGTCGAAATAACAGAAAAGGATATAGAATATTACATAAATTTAATTGATAAAGCAGTGGCAGGGTTTGAGATGACTGACTCCATTTTGGAAAGAAGTTCTACCATGGGTAAAATGCCATCAAACAGCATCGTATGCTGCAGAGAAATCTTTCCTGAAAGGAAGAGTTGATCTATCTCACAAACTTCATTGTTGTCTTTTTTTTTTGAGAGAGGGAGAGAGTCTCACTCTGTTGCCCAGGCTGGAATACAGTGGTGCGATGTCTGCTCACTGCAACCTCCACCTCCCAGGTTCAAAAGATTCTCATGCCTCAGCCTCCAGAGTAGCTGGGATTACAGGCGCACACCACCATGGCTGGCTAATTTTTATATTTTTAGTAGAGATGGGGTTTCATCATGTTTGCCAGGCTGGTCTTGAACTCCTGGCCTCAAGTGATCTACCCGCCTCGACCTCCCAAAGTGCTAGGATTGCAGGCGTGAACCACCACACCCGGCCTGTTATCTTATTTTAAGAAACTGCCACAGCCACTTCAACCTTTAGTAACCACCAGCCCAATCAGTCAGCGGCCATCAACACTGAGGCAAGACCCTCCACCAGCAAAAAGACTGAGCCTCACTGAAGGCTCAGATGATCATCAGCATACAGAATTTTTAATTGTTTTTTAATTTTAAATTAAGGTATGCACATTGTTTTTTAGATGTAATGCTAGACGCAATGCTACTGTACACGTAATAGGCTACAATGGAGTGTAAACAAAACTTTTATGTGCACTGTGAAACCAAAAAGTTTGTGGGACTCACTTTATTGCAATATTAGCTTTATTATGGTGGTCTGGAGCAGACCCTGCAATATCTCTGAGGTCTGCCTGTACATATTCATTATT